ATACAGTAAATGCCTTAAGTATAGTATTAAATATAAAAGTCTTTTTAAGAAAATTATTGCTTTTAACACAAATTATAATTCAATATTTATTTTGTATTGTATATCAAAAAATATTTTATTGCCAACGAATTAATAGCTATTATTAAAAACCGATAAATAAAAGTGTTTCCCTTTATGCTAGCATTTGGTGTTTGCATTAAAATCTAATATTTTGATTGACATATAAATGGTTATATGATTTGGAAATCCTTTTTGTGCGAACAATCGCTAATAATAATAAGTGACTGTATTTTGTCTTATTATTCAATCAGCACTTCCATCATAATATTTGTATTGTGAACATACAATATATATATATATATAATTAGTTTTTGTAAAATGAAAGGACTTTTAAGTGCACTTAATAATTATTAGATCCGTTTTGGAGTGAGAATTTATGTTGAATTTTATTTTTTAGGATGATTTATGACATCATTTTATATGAAATTGTTGTGAAATCAGTACACAATTAAATCCGTCCATCAGTAGTGAACATCCGATTTGTGATGAAAAAAGATTTTTGTTTTAAAAATATTATATTTATTAAAAAGACTTTATATAATACTAGGAAAATATTTAATAAATATACAGTAAATTTAAAAACTAGTATTATGTTATATAACAATATAAGTTAAATTGTTTTTAACCCCTATTTTAGATTGAGTTACAAGATTTTATAATAATATAGTTTAAAATATTTATATCAATAATAAACCTTTAATTTTATTTTTTAACAAATTTTATTTTGTTTAATAATAATAATTATAATATGATTTAAAGATAAGAATAATTTTATGCATAGTTTATAAATTTATAAATTATATAAATTGAGAATTAAGTTATATAACATTTAACTTATATATTATATCATATATTTATATAATAATCGCTGGAATCATGCGATAATCAATTAATGGATTTATTTGTTATGAAGGCTTTTGAATAAAATACCAAGTAAATTTAGTTATTAATATCAAACACATTAAACTAACTAATTCAATGGGAAATTGAGAAAACTTTAGGGCCAAGGATTGCATGAGATATAAAGATTTATATAAAGTTTTCTAACGTTTAAAAACTTTAATTTCAATGTCTTTTACCCTAAAAACAATTAAATAATTTATTATTAATTACTGATTGTTGTTTTCAAACTTAAAACATATGACTATTATTACGTGAATTTACACTTAAATCAAAGGCTGTCCAACAAATTGCTTTTGAGAAATAGTTTTCATCATTTAAATTATTAAAACACATAAATTTAAAGGTTTTGTGCAAATAATTCAATAGTTTATATAATATATAATTTATTGTAAAGTAATTTAATGATTTTCAGGGTTGTTAGATAGAGATTATTAATTTTAAAAATACATGTATAATCATGATATTGAATTAATTCACATTATCATAAGTATGCGGATTATAAAGTACCAGGACATAGCTTTGAATTATTTTAAATATTAATTTCCTAAATGTGTGAATAATTTAAATAATGCAAAATACAAATGTTGCTATAATACTGTATAAAGTTAATTCAAAAATGAATCTTATTTTGAGATAAAATATTAGATTTAAATATATTTTATTGATTAATTGTATAGACCCTATATTATTTAAATAGAAAATTGATTTTGTTTTATAATTTACAATTTATATGAATAATAATTTACTAGTTATTAATATGTTCAAGATGGTACGCAAATGCCATTTAGTTGTTACTTATTATTTTTGTGATGAATTCTCGTCATTAAGTCTTCGGACTTTCATTCTGTGACGAAATAAAACAATTTTATTATTTTATTAAATTAAGACAAATATATTATTATGCAATCAAATCAATATTATAATAGTTTTTAACTTTCAATTCAATGCTTACCTTCGGTTTTGAAACCAAACTTTGACCTGAAATATGAATTTTTAATTAATATTTATGACTCTCTCTCTCTCTCTCTCTCTCACTCTCTCACTCACTCACTCACCTGTCGTTCCGTGAGATTCAATTGGACGGCAATCTCGTAGCGCCGGAGTCTTGTGAGGTACTGGTGCTGCGAGAACTGTGCCTCCAATGCCTCCAACTGTTCTCTACTAAATAGTGTCCGTTCCTTACGCACAGTGCCGGCCACTGGCTCTACGACACCGGTAGTGTCATTAACACCGGCAGTATTATCCTGTGGGCAGCAGTCAAACGATTGGTTCACATCAAAACTCTCGTTACAAATAAAATCCATTTATTTTTTTAATAAGTAATAATAATTTGCACCAAAAATACCAAAACTTTTATTTAATATAAAATAGTTTTCAAAACACTTTTTCGCTCTTATAGTCAACACATAGTTCTTGTGTTGATTTCTAGTGGATATGATTTGTGGGATAAGTATTTGTTTTTTGGTGAACATTGTGAGTAGTTTAACAGATGTTCACACAGAGCACTGGTATGTGTGTGTGAGGGGAACCGACACTTTCTTATTTGGGAGTCGGAAACGGTAGGGAAAAGTGATGACAGTCTTAATTATAAACTCATTAGTGCCCACTATTTTGCTTCATAGTGAGGTGGGGGAGGGGTGGGAGGTTAGGGTGATGAGTGACTGGCAATATGCATACTTTCCACAATATTCTCGGTAAATATCTCGTAAAATATTTATTTTTATTTTAATACCAATATACATTGTAGATTTTATTGCAATATGATAAGATTCTATAATAACCAAGCGTAGTGTGAATTAAATTCTTTATAAATTCTTTAGTATTATGATACTTTATACTTTGTTCACATATGATTAGTTCAATATTGAATTTTATTTTTGTAACTGTATTTTTGATAGAATGTGAATAAACTATTGGTTTATAACTGACCCTCACTTATAAACACATATTTATCAATAGGATAAGTTATTATCGATAAGAAATAGCAGTCAAATATTAGGTCTAATGTATGTATGTATGACGTGAATGAGAATGAGTACAACTTTAAAGTTTTTAGTATCTATACTTTACAGTATTGAGTACATTACACTGTAAGGAATAGCCTAAAATTTATATAATGTTTAAATTATATTTTCCAGAATGAAAATTCTGTTTCAAAATAAATATACATTATTAGTAATAATTTATTACAATAACACAAATAATTTGTACCGGTAAAATTAAAATTCCAGCTAATAATATTAATGAATTAAAAGCTAGTTTAAAACACAATCACTATTCTTAGACACGAGTACATATGAAATGGAATATAAAGTCCAACTGAAGTACAGTATCTAAAATCAAACTGAGACACGACCTTCTAGTACTAAATTATTACGCCTTTTCTTATCGCAAACTATTCATATATACTGTATTTTTATACTAAAACCAGTTTAAGATTAATAAATACTATATGTTTTTTCCATACAGTTTGCCGAAAATCATAACACACTCATCAAAATCATACGATTATTTTTGGCGATAGTTTATGACATTTTTGAGTTAAAAATACAATTATTTGTTTCAAACATTTTTATATGATTGAACATTTTTGTGATATATTTATTTAAGTATAAGTCGGTGTTAATGAAAAAAAAGTTTTTTTTATTTAATGAGCAAAATGTGGAAACCGTTTGTTGTTTGAGAGGGGAATATGTTTGAAAATAGTCGTCGTCTCAATTAAATTCATTACTTCCTTATATATAATCAATACTAATAATAAACTCAGCGTTAAGTTTATGTAATAAATACTAATAATTTCATTTTAAATATAACTGTATTATAGATAAGAGATATATATTCTGTGTTTTGNTCTCAATTAAATTCATTACTTCCTTATATATAATCAATACTAATAATAAACTCAGCGTTAAGTTTATGTAATAAATACTAATAATTTCATTTTAAATATAACTGTATTATAGATAAGAGATATATATTCTGTGTTTTGTGCAAATCATGAGTGAGCTTGGTATCAAGAACAGTTTAATAGTAGGCTTCTGTGCATTTTTTGTATTCCTCAGCAGTTTATTAGTAAATCTAATACAACTCATCAATTATCTGACCATAAGATATGTGAATGTAAATCTCTATCGACAAATCAATTCATACTTTCAATATATTATTTATTCGCGTAAGTGTTCATTGATTTTGTTGTTAAATTAAATTTGAATCAAATTTTGTGAAAAGTATTCTAGTCATCTTATATATATCAATGTCAATTTATATAATATTCATAGAAACCCATTATAACTAAGTTTTAAAATGTATATTAAGATATATTTTATATAATACAGTACAATATAATAGATATATTGAATGTTTGAAATTAGTACAGCTATATTTTATAATAATTCAATTTTAATTCAAATAGATAATGTAAAAGTTGACTATTATTCAAGGTCTCTAAGTATTCACGTGTTTAGCATCCTCTCACTCTCTCTCTTCTCTCTCTCTCTCTCTCCACCATAAAAACTAATCAAACAATTATATCTTAAACACAGAGATAATAGCGATATGCGAGGTATGGTCGGGCAGTACGGCTGAGATATATTTCGCCGACCAGTCGACCGCCGATGGGTTCGGTAGCGAACACTCGCTAGTGGTGGCCAACCATAGGTACGAAACGGACGCCGCCTTCCTATGGCTGGTGGCCGAAAGGTACGGCTGTCTGGGCTCGAGCAAGGCTTTTGCCAAACGAGAGCTCCGGTATGTGCCGATAATCGGGTGGACCTTCTTTTTCGGCGAATACATATTCCTGGAGAGGGACTGGCGTAAGGACGCCGACAACATAGCCACCGGTTTGGACCACATTATGGCTCACAAACAGCCGACGCTACTCATGATCGCCGCCGAAGGCACCAGATTTACGGCACAGAAGTACGAGACGAGTATGAAGTTTGCCGCCGATAGGGGACTGGGAGTCCACTATAAACACCATTTGTTGCCCAGAGTTAAGGGATTCGCGTATTCCGTGCGACACTTGAAGGAGAAGTGTAAGTGTTTTGTGTTTATTAATATGATTTGCATATTAAATGCTAATTATATTAGTTTTATATACAAGTGAGCTTAACAATAAAAGTACCTGTATATTTATTTTAATTTAAATAATGGCATTTGTTTTGATCCCAGACCCTGAGGCCGCTCTCTATAGTCTTCAGTTAGCTTTTGATGAGAACAAGGAGTCCATCAAAATATCAAATCTTATAAAAGGCGTTCCCATGAATGGTTCGGTTCATATCAAAAGGATTCCG